TTGTTTTTAGGGGTATGAAGAAGGTGGATGTGGAAAGCATGATGTACCACTGGGTGGTGATCTTTACTATGATGGAATATTGGCAGGGGCTTCACTAAATAGGAGAGTGTATTACAAGACATTTATTTATTATTTAGCTGATGGTATTTACCCCCCCCCCCCCTTTGGAAAGCTGCAAGTCACAAGTGCGTTGGCGGCCTATGTGTCTAAGGTTAGTAGGTAAAGGTTGACCACCTCAAATATGGCTCGAATATATATAATAAAAATATAAACATTACATTATAATACATACGAGTACCTATATATTTCGTTATAACTGTCCACAACATACAACCATACCTAAGCCGCCAAGAGGTACTTGTGATTAAGTGGTTGCAGGTTCGAATCCCGATCGGTGCACGACGAGAATCCATACCTATTACAAGCACTTTTTCTGAGCTGTAGTGGTTACGTTACTGGTATTATTTTATGAAAGAAACAGATAAGAGTTTTTAGGTCTATTCATCATCATCAGCCTACCGCAGTCCACTGCTGGACATATGCCTCTCTTATTGGCTTCTCGCATCCAACCCAATAAGTCTTCTTAATATTCATTATACAGAATCGGGGTGTCTGCAAATCTTAGGTGGTATTCTTAAAAATTAAGTAATCATAACGAGTCAAGTATCTAAATAATAATAATATCACACATATCCCACACGGCCGTCTGATCCCAAACTAGAGTCTGTACTATGTGACCAGACTGCTGATAAGCATACTCATATATTTCTAAATACATACATCACATCCACACCCTTTAATAGTCCACTGCTGGACTTAGACCTCTCTTTATAAAGAGGGTTTAGCCTACTATACCACGCTAGCCAGACGGATTGGTTTTTTTTTTTTTTTAAAGACAACTCCCGCTCTAGGAAGAAATCCAAACAAACTTTACAAACATACATGAAATGGACACAAAGAACACCCATACCCAGAACGACAATTTGTGGATCACACAAATTGTCGTTCCGTGTGGGGATCGAACCCACAACACTCAACAGTGACGTGGCGACCGCTTAAACCACTACGCCATCCGTGCAGTCTATATATTCGGGTGAACTTGGTACAAGATGCTTGATTTTATGCACTCCGTGTGTAATAGGAATCGATGTGCAGAACCGACAAGCTAGCACAAAAAAAACAAGGTGTTATTTTTTTTTTATGTTAGAGGGGGCAGACGAACAGACGGGTCACCTGATGTAAAGTAGGAAGCGGCGTGGCGACCGCTTAAACCACTACGCCATCCGTGCATGTGGTTTGTTTCAATATTTCCTTCTCTTGCAGTACTGTTGTCCTCTGTAATTTGCTTCTTTAATCGGCTGTTACGGCACCTATGAAAAGAATAATGGTGGTTACACTCCGTGTTCTTAACCCGTCACCACACGGAATACCATACCATATTTTTAATAACATTGTAAAATTACCAATCAAACATCAAAATTCATATGTGTTTAGCTGCCGTCTTAAATAATAGCTGTGTTTTGCTAAACCTCGCATTTAAATAACAAATTCCGCGGCGCAATCAGTGTGGAGCGAATGCACTGGAGCTGTTGTAAATACCAACTCTACTTTTATTACGGTTAATTCGACTGTTATTTCGTGTTTATTGGAAATTGTTAAAAATCAACTTTGATCTCATAAAGAGAGAAAGAAAGTAATTAAGTTTATTAGCCACAACACGCAACAAAAAAAAATAGACATAACATAAAAGAGAAAATAAAATAATAAACACGTCGCTAAACTAAAGAATAAAACGAACGAAAAGTTAACAAAATATAATTTTTTAATAAATTTCCCTTTTTTTTGTAAAGAATTGAATCTAAGCCTGGTGGTTTATTTTTTTATTTATTTATACATCATGCACTTTTGGTGCATTGGCGGAATTAATGCCTAGTCAACCTTTGGGTGATGTAGAGAGAACAGGAAGTAGGTGCATTTTGTTGTAATAATATCAAATACACGTTTGGTGGTTACCGATCCTGGCTGTGGAGCCAGACATCATGGGATCGATTTCCACTAATCATCATCTGCCTACCCTCATCCCAATTTAATTTGTGGTCGGCGCAGTATGTATAAATCTTCCATTCTACTCTATAGTTTATCATTTTACTGTTTACTCCCTTCCTAGCCATATCTTTACTCACACAGTCCATCCATCTTTTCTTTGGTCTTTCTCTTCTCTAGTACCTTTCCAAAGATCGATTTTCACTGTGGACCAATAATGAATCGAGAGGAATTGACATTTTATTCTGTGTAAATTTAATTTATCTGTAATATGTAAGTATTTAGTGGTAAAAAGTATGTTTATTGTATTATAAGTTTGGTTACCTTACCTTTACCTTACTATAAGTTACCTTTACCTTACTATAAGTTCTCCCTAGTTTGGTCCGGAGGTCGGGGATTCGATTCCCACCAATAATAAATATTGTGTGACGAGCTCGATTATTTGATCTGTGCATGTAATTTATCTTTAATATGTATTTAGAAATATATAAGTATTTTTTATCAGCAGTCTCACATTGTACAGGCTCTGCCTAGTTTTGGATCAGACTAACTTGCGTGAGATGTGTTTTTTTTATGGTATAAGGGGCAAACGAGCAGACGGGTTACCTGATGGTAAGCAACTACCGCCGCCCATGAACACCTGCAACTCAAAAGTTACAAGTGCGTTGCCGCCCTTGGAGTCTCTTTCGCTGGAGTCAGGTGGGTGGATTTGGACTCCGGTAACCTCACTCACTCAGTGAAAGGCAAGGAAAGAATTGCTTAACACCGGTTTTCTGTGAGGCCGTGGTATCACTCCGGTCGAGCCGGCCCATTCGTGTCGCAGCGTGGCTCTCCCACGGTGAAGTTACTATTATATAAAATTCAAAATTAACGAATATTTTGAAATCGTGTTCCAAAATCTGTTAGATATCGATTACACACGTACTCTGGTGATAACGATATTGTATCGATGCATTTCCGATTACAAGGATTGCGTCGATGGTGTTCAATCGATAGTGCGATCGTGCCGATAGCTGCATTACTAGCTCCAATAACTGAGCACGTGATGAAATCCCGTGTGACTTTGTGTAAACACATTGTTTTTGTAACGGTTATTAATTAATTGTTTTGTGATACTTGTTTTTAACTCTATGGGCCAAAAGGAAAGTTATGTTTTTCGAGTGTACTCGTATTATGTTTTGGAAATTTTATATATGTACATCTTTTTTTTCAATAACTAGCTTGTTTGTTTACTTATTTTACTTTATAAGTTATAAATAACGAGATTTTGGTCATTATTTTAAGGACATTAAAACAGTGTTAAAATAAAAAGAAAACTCAAAGTTACAAACACATATGCCTAGCCATGTGGTGACGGGTTAAGTATACAAAGTGTCACCACCCGTGCTCATCGCGTGAGTGTTGTAAGAGCCGACAGTGCTGTTGTTTTGCGAAAACTACGCAAAACAACAGCACTGCAAAGAGAAGGAAAACTTAAAACAAACCCTATACCAACCAGTTTTGCCAGTGTGGTATAGTAGGCCAAAACCTCCTTTCTAAAGAGAAGCCTATATCCAGCAGATGACTATTAGAGGCTGTTGATGTGATGCGATGAGAATCTTACTTACATGGATGTGTTTTTGTTAATCAATCGTGTCAGAACGGCTGCATGAATCTAAATCAAATTTGAAATAGACATAGATTGGTCTGGAGTAGCATGATCTAACAAAGTAATTTATTCGGGTGAACTTGGTACAACATGCTTGATTTTATGGGCTCCGTGTGTAACAGAAATCGATGTGAAGAAAAACGAAAAACTGTCAAGCTGGCACAAAAAAAAACAAAGTGTTTATTTAATTTTTTTTTATGTTAGAGTCACGGGTCACCTGATGGAAAGTGACCATCGCCGCCCATGAACGTCTGCAACTCAGGAGTCACAAACGCGTTACCGGCGTTTTAGGAAGGAGTACGCTCTTTTCTTAAAGGTTTGAAAGTCGTATCGGTCCGAAAATACCGATACGACTTTTATATATTAATATGCAAAAAAGAGAAGGAAAACTTGAAACCAACGTAAAAAATCGACGTTCGGTCGTATTGTAATAGACTTGAAGCCGAGCCCAACCTAGTTTGGGAAAAGACTCAGAGGGAGAAGTAGAAGTTTACTTTAATAATATTCTATTTCCTAATGACAGCATAGCAAGATTTCGAAATATTTTTTACACTTGCTTTTATTTTTAATCAAAAGACAGTCAGATTTGATAACTTAGTTGCCATTTTTATTTTGTAATTAAGTTTTATTATACCATAGTTTTCAGTAATTTTTGAAAATAAAGTAACCAATAATGTTTTGTCTTTATGATTAGGCACAGTAGTGTCTATGAATACAATGTTACTTTAGTCATTGTGTTAAGTACATTGAAACAGTGTTAAAATGATAGGAATATAGGCATAAAACCTTAATTAGGTATTGTTTTTTAAATATTTTTTAATATGTTAAATTAAGCTATTGTTGTTGCGTCTATGTTTTAATCTATTATTTTATTGTTAACTAGCTGACCCGCGCAACTTCGTCTGCGTCTCTCAATAGTAATAAATTTTCTCCGTTTTTGAAACATTCTTCATTGGTGCTCCGCTCTTATTGGTCTTAGCGTGATGATATATAGCCTATAGCCTTCCTCGATAAATGGGCTATCTAACACTGAAAGAATTTTTCAAATCGGACCAGTAGTTCCTGAGATTAGCGCGTTCAAACAAACAAACAAACAAACTCTTCAGCTTTATAATATTAGTATAGATAAAAATAAAAATTGGGGATTTCGAATAATTATATTATAGCAATGTAGTTGTTCAAACGTACCGTACGTAAAACCTTATTTTATTATTTATTTAGTCAACAAAGTCACAATGATCTTTATTATTTAAAATAAAACAACAATTATTGATTATTACATCTAGAAAAATCCGTGTACATGGGAAGTCTAAAAATAGGTTTTCGTAGGCGTCAAATCAAAAGGGTAAACATCAAAATAATGGTCGGTCGGGGCGGCAGCTGCGCGAACTTTTACCGGCGAACTTTCAGCGCCAACTTCAGCGCTTCCTTCCGGCCAACCTTGCGTGTAGTGCGCGGGCGGCGCGGCGCGCCAGTTCGCGCTCGACCGCCGTAGCGCCCGCACGCGCGCCATTACTCGCTACGCTTCGACACGTGATCAGCCGCGACACACACACACTCAAAGGATTTATTTACTCGCGGTGCATGTTGTGCTTTAGTGACGGCTTCTCAGTGCTTTGAAGTGGAGGCACGGGCCACCGGCGCCGCTGGGCCCGTGATTGGCCCGGGCGGCGGTATGGAATCCCCACAGATGTACGATGCGGCGGCGGCCCCGCCGCCACCACCACAACCAGACCTTAAAAAAGCAGTAGAGGATAAGCGAGCACCCTTCCCGCCACCAGACCTAGACGAGCTCAATGGACAGGAAATTAGTTTGGATTTACAGCACCTCATCGAGGACCAATTCAGGAGTGAGGAGGGCATGGCTCTCTTTCAGGAAATCCTTCCTGGTGGAAAGTCGCCCCAGCCGAGGTACAACCGGACGACGTTGGCGTACATGCCACAGCCGGTACACTCGGGTGCGTCTTACGCTCCGGTCCAGCCCAATCAAGGGCACGAGCAGGCTCCCCCTATAAAGGAAGAGCCCCCTGAGCCCCACGACTACCGACGAACGGTTGCGTGTGCACAATATACAGGTCAATACAACCCTCAGCCAACTGTTGGAGTCAGCGGTCCTTATGGAGGCGGATTCACACCGTTACCACCTCTAGGAGCACCTCTTCTCCCGCCGTTACTAAAACACAAGCCGACTCCGTCGAGACGATCTTCAGGGAAGTCCATAGACAAAGGTACCGATGAGTATAGAAGGCGACGGGAACGCAATAATATAGCTGTGAGAAAATCCCGTGAGAAAGCAAAAGTGCGCTCCAGAGAAGTCGAGGAGAAGGTGAAGACTCTTCTGAGGGAGAAAGAGGTGTTACTAAAGAGGTTGGAGGCTGTGTCAGGAGAGTTGAGCTTACATAAGCAAATGTATGTGCATCTGATAAATTTGAACCACCCGGAAATCACGGAATTGTGCCGATCCATGCTGCAGCTAGGAGCGCCGCAAGCGCAGGACCACACTCTCTGACCGTAGGTGAGTATATTCGTGTACATCAGTGTATGTCCCGAGTCCCTTTAAGTTACGCTTTTGTGTGCTATAAAAATGTTTCAATGTGTGTGTGATAATTTTCAACGGAGCATGGAAAGTCGTAAATCACATAGTGTAAAGAGCAATGTTTTATATTATTTTATGGGCTTGTTACGCAATTTGTTTATTGTAAAAGTGGTGCAGTGTCGCCTTGTCGGTAATGTGTTTCTTTCATTGTAAAACGAATGCGTTTGCATTTATTTAGAACATTACATTTCATGTTATCAAATGTTCTGAATTCATAAGTCTCACTTTTTTACACTCATGACAAAACGCTAATAATATTTTTTTGGTTAAAGTCACATTTGCCTAATTACTTACAGGTAATTTCGTAATTTACTTTCGCTATCATTTTGATTCAAATATCTGTGATGATTTATACTATAAGTAATTCATAATTAAAAACATATTTAAATACTAATTATTTGACATAATTAGTCGGTATTTATTGCTATTATGTGTGTATACCCATAAAAGTGGTTCATAAATGCAATCTAAACTACAATTTTAATAATTTGCGTAAATTTTATGTTAAAATTGTTTTCAAATCATTTTAAGAGTACACAGAGTGGTTTTATTTTCTATTAATAAGTAAATAAAGAAACGTAAGTAAATTTATAAGTGATAAAAAAAGTCCTACTTATTCATGCTTCCCTGGTATATATCGTAGTATCTTTTAAGTCATTACTTACAAAATACTTCGAGTTAAGTATACACACTAAAGACAATTATATCGTGTGTGAACTTAAAGTATATCACACTGTTATGTAGGTATTTAGAAGTAATGCTACCCATAATATATCGCATGTTTGAAAATACTACCCACATTTTCTATAATTATACCAAATTTTATCAGTCTTTTATGACTTTTTAGAGCAAAAGAAACGACGAGATTTTATTAGTAATTTGTTTTATTATGAAATTATAAAATGAAATATAAGATTTCATTTTTTTTTCATTATACGATTTAGATATACTAATACTAGATATACTCGAATAACTGGTAGTTATGTAAATTATGAAATTTATTTTTAAAAACACATTTTATATATTTATATATATATATTGTACGTAAGATTTTATAGGATATTCAGATAGACAAACTTTTGATCATTACAAGCTTTTAACTGGTCTCCGCTAACGTTTATGTCAATTTAATCAGTCAATTTTCCTTGATTAAAAGTAACATATTTGTATTCCAGGTTTTAATCTACCTTAATGCCAATTTTCATCCAGATTCGTTGAGTCGTTCTAGGGTAATTAACATACATTCAACAATTCACCAAAACACCTCACCAATTTTCGTGTTTTGGTTGCAGTGTTAAATGCAAAAATAAAACTATATTTTATTTTTATTGAAATATTTTTTATTGAAAATTATTAATCTATAGGATAAATTAAATTAAATTAATCTTTAGGAATAACTTCAAAAAGGAAATAATTTATGACTAAATCATGTTTTTTTATATTAACTTTGAAAATCTTATATAGAAATCTCTATGGAATAAAGTCGGATGACCTATTGCAAAGTTTGTAATACGCTATGTATGCACTTAGTGTGTCGTAACATTTAACGATAGATTAGCAATCAATTCTTGAACACGAAGTTAGCTTTTTCTCTGTATTCACTTAACTATCATGATAGGAATCGATTTAGAATTTATATCTGTTAATCATTAACTTAGATTGAGTATTGCTAGTAAATTTAGCTTAATTTAGATTTGACAGATAGCTGTTTGGTTTTTTTTTTTATTTAAACAAAAACTATTTGGAATTTCGAACTATTTGATTTCAATTTTAGAACTGATATTAAAAAAATATCACACATGATATTATGGTAGTTCTTTGTATTTAAAAACTAAGCTACCAGGATGTTATGAAAGTGTAAGAGTAAACTAAAGTTAGTAACATTTCCATTCACGTGTTTAACTCGTAATGTTTTTCAAAACTCATATTATTACGTACGTATCTTTGCACGTGATATTCGTAATACAGGTCACGTTTACTTTGAATCATAGTGAAAGTTGTAATCGCCAACGTTGACACTCCATAGTGTTTTCATAATTTGTACTTAACAGATAACTACTTAGTTAATTTTGCAGAACCGTCAGTTCAATGTGCTACGGTAACATTATTAACAGGCTCGATATATTTGCATTCCTTTTTAATTTTAAAAAAGGTCATTTTTTCGACATCGCAAACATACTTCTGGTAATTTCTTATATCCTGGTACTCGAATCTATATTTTAATAAGGTTGTGTAATCATTTTCTAAATGTTTTTTTAATAATGTTTAGATGGAAAATAAGAGTAAATCAGAAGATCTATAAATTTTAATAAAACATAATATATTTTGCACCCTCATTTTCAAACTGGGCTGTCAAATAAAAATATCTTAACTATCTATTAAGTTATTTTTTCTTAGTGTGATATTTTGTGTAATTTGTTACCTAAGTATGAATCTTATTTAAAAGTACTAAAATACATTTTCAATTAAAAGCCAGATCCAGTGTGGTCGGAACATGTGTTGCGAACCAAATGAATTACTATCACTTTCGAAGTAACCATAAATACTAGGTTAGCGTATATGATTAGATTACGATACAATGTAATCGATGTCAAAATGAATATGGAATTGAATGATATTTCTAATTTGTTCTAAAGATATTTTTTTCTCACTACCAACAAACATACACACAATATAATACATACATACAATTTACATAGGTAAATTCTTCAATCAGGTCGTCACAACATATTACTTATTTTTTCTACGAGTCTTCGCCTACGCCATTCCATGAATACTCGAGTAGATTAGATTATTCGATTTTGAAAAAAAATTTAGAAACATTTCATTCATTCAGAAAAAGTACTTAAAAACTGCAACTCATTTTGTATGATGCTAGAAAAAAAAAAAGAGTTTGAATTTAGAAACACTTCAGATTGACGCACTAGTTTCACAGTTAAGCCTATACGTTGAACCCCTAGCTGTTATAACATCCTAGTACAAATGAAAGCAATATTTTTTTCAGTTCAAAAAAGGTTTTTGATTGGTTTAGTGGTTAGTGACCCTGACTGCTAAGCTGGAGGTCATGGGTTCGATTCCCACCCTGGACAAATATTTGTGTGCTGATCACGATCATTTGTTCTGTGTCTGGGTATAATTTATCTATAATATGTATGTATTTAGAAATACATATGTTTATCACCAGTCTGGTTACCATAGCACAGGCTCTGCCTAGTTTGGGATCAGACAGCCGTGTGTGAGATGTGTTATTATTGTAGTGGGTATTATTTTATTTATTATATAAAAATTAATTAGGAGTTGTTTCTCATCTTTTTTGCACTTTTTCAAAAAAAGAATTTGATAATACCTAGTCATTCTAATTATAAATATATTTGTGGTGTACAGTAATCGCATATGATGTATACAATCTGGTATCTCACATACTATATGACGACCAAATACTGCGCGCTTTCATTTGTCAAATCAAATAGCGCATGCTTCCCCGGTTTCCTGTAAAGCAGCGTCCACACTATGCCGGAGTATGCCGGGCGAGGCCGGGCGGGCTGACCCGGGCGGCCTAAGCCGGGCGGGTTCGTTCGGGCCGGCACGACGTCCACACCGAAAACGAGGCCGCCCGGGTTATATCTACCTATTAGTTTCAATTCGACACCAAGACTGGACAACTAAAGCCGCCCGGTGCCGCTCGGCACGTCCCCACTACATATTTTCGTTCGGCTCGGGCCGGCATCCTTTGATCTGTACCTACTTTCTGCGGGTTGGGATCGGCTCGGCTCGGGCCGGCTTTTTAAGCCGCCCGGGGCGTCCACACCAACCCGGCTTAGGCCGCCCGGGTCAGCCCGCTCGGCCTCGCCCGGCATAGTGTGGACGCTGCTTAACACTCTCCCGTCCCATTTCAGTAAATCGCTCTAAAAAAATTGCAGGATAGCGAAAGGAAAAGATATTTTATACATCATTAAACAGTAGTATTATAATTTCAATAACACTTCCTGAATTCGGCCTTAACCCTACAAAGATAAACGCTTATAGGTATTATATAAATGATAAGTGTATGTTTGCAAAACTGATAATCTAAAAATTGGCAATGGCCTACACGAAAAGATAATTCGGTAGCTGAAAAAAAAAATATATGGATGTATTATCACAATCAGTAACCGGTATATTCATGCTAATACATATTTATTTAAAATCGCATCGTATTTTCGTACCGTTTGTAATGTACATCAATATTAGTTTTATTTTTTTATAACTTTGAACTTAAGAATAATATGTCCAAAATATTATATCGACGGCCAACGAAAATATACTTCAAATTCACTTCAAAAAACGATTCAATTACACAGAAGGTGTATATAATCGCAAAAGGAGGTAATGAATATTACTGAAGGAGGTAATGAGGCACTCGTACCGACTACTTCTATAAAATCGATTATTCAAAAGCGAGAAGCCGAAAATCGATCTAAGTCTCGTGCAATGGGAGAGGTCTATGTCCAGCAGTGGACTGCGATAGGTTGATGATGATGATGATTATGATTCAAACATTTTTTTCTTACAAAATAGCACATGTCTAACTATATTCTACCTCTGTGGCAAATTTTATCACACTATACATCACTTTATATTTCGTGTTTATACACGTACTTTACAATTTAATGTTTTCTTTCACCACTTATAAATACAAATATACTCACTGAAACATAACTGTAACTTAAACTCAAATACCTTAAATGGACTAAAGTCTTCGTACCATAACCGATTTCAATCAAAAAGCCTTATAGAACAGAATTGATTGGTATAAAACTTTATTATACACCAAAAAAAATGTTTTACATGGCGGCCTTATCGCTACAGACCAATGCAACCTTTAGATGGACAAAACGTCCGTATAAAGACGACGAGGCTGATGATTGAGTTCA